TTTTTTTCCTCTCACTATAGTGTTTCCTTGTCCAGTCCTTCACCAACTAAGATAATCAAGAAAAGACTGAGACTTCATCACATTTTTAATTGCAGTTAATTACCAAAACACTGAAAATCTCTGTGTGTGATAAACCCAAAAAACCTAAAAGAGTAAGTTTTAAAATAAAAAAATCCATTATTCCCACAGCTTGAGCACTGGCACCTCCTGTGTCCTGGTTGCATCAGTAAATGTATTGCTGTGATAATTCCAGAAATGACTGATGACATCTCTGGCTGAAGTTAAGCACAACCAAGGGACTTTTTGCAGGAATTAAAACAATGCCCAAACTGTGAGTGAACTTATTCTGCAGATGTGGTCTGACTGGACTTGACTGTTTTCCCATATTACCTCAAATCAGGTTCAAAAATTCAAACAAAAGGTGCCCTTTGCCTCTTCCCAAGTGAAATAACATTTTAATCCTTTCTGCAGAATTCAAAAATTTGACTTTTGTACTGATTTAAATGCAATACAAGAACTGTGTATTTCATATTACTGTTTTTAACAACACACAGAATTAACTCTGGTATGCCTCGTTTCAGGCTTTAGAGTCCAACCTCACAAACACAGGGTTTATTTCTAATGGCAGAGCTGCTAATTCTCTCCACACAAACAGCCAATGTGTCGTGGCTGAGCTCCATGGTGCTCTCATTGACATGAACATACACAGGGTAACTCCACCTTGTAAATCACAATCATTTAGCTTGGAAACAAGCTCTAAAATCACCAAGTCCCAGTGCTGGAACCCTGCAGGGAGATGTGGCACAAAGAAAAACCACTCAGAATTCAAAAAAGGTTGTAGTTTGAAAAGAAGACGCCCCTAAGCTCTTTAGTGCCTTCTGCAAAAGAATTTTCACCAACGTGAGACACCATTAAAAAAAAAAAAAGAAAACAAAAAACAACCAAAACAAAATAAAGAGTAAGTTTGGTAATACCTGAAACCTCACAGAATGGGTAATGATATTAAGTCAAAACTCAGACTGGAGAAGTCTGGTGTGGAAGCCCATGGGAAAGCTCCATGTTCACACAAAACTTTCCCATGGGCTTCTACAAGTCACCCCTTTTTATTTAGAAAAAAGGAAAAAAGAGAAGTGTTTGTAGTCCACTGCAGGGCCCTGTGCAAGGGAGGACAAACACAACTCAAGAGACTTGAAGATACCTTGAATATTCTCACCTTGCTGCTCTTTCTTGAAAGAGGCTACAAAATATTATTTCTAGTACAATAATAAAATCTACTATAGCTAATACAATAATAAAAACTACCATAAACCCAAAATCTAGAAAACCCAGGCTTCTCCTTTCCCTGGCTGTCCAGTATGCTCAGTCTGGAAATCTTGGCACTGGGAGAGAAGCCAGTGTTGGGAGGACGGGAGGGTTCCTTACCAATACAGGTGCGCCCGTCGGCGTGGAGCCGAAATCCTGCCTGGCACTGGCACTGGAAGGAGCCCTGGGTGTTGACACAGCCCTGCTGGCAGCCCCCGTTCAGCACCTCACACTCATCCACGTCTGCAGAAGGAAGGAACAGGGTGAGGAAGGGTGACAGGAGAGCCCAGCACAGGCAGACCCTGGCTGCCCTGCACGGCTCATCCATAATGCAGCCAGGGCGCTCGGGCTGGGTGGTTGTTGTTGTTGTTGTTGCTGTTTTCTTCATTTTGGCAGCAAAGAAAAGTGTGATTTTATGGTATTTTTCCAAGTTCCTGCAGGCACTGCCTCTGTAGTCTCTGCTTCTGAAGTCCTTGTTAATTAGAGTGATTTGTGACACGGCTCTTTCATTGAGTCAAAGAGAAAAATACAGGGAAAGAATTAGGGTTAGTTAACACATCTTTTATAAAAACTTGCTCTATGAAGACTTCCTTTTGCATCAGGCCTTTAATCCTATTTGTTTGGGGGTACAAGCAGGTACAACTGACATGACTCGAAAACAGACACATTCTCCATCACCATTACATTTTCAACCATGCAAAGCACAGAGAGCTTAAATACAAAATTTTAGAAGAGTGAGGAATTTGTGCTACATTTTCTGTGTCTCTTGCCATAGAATCATAGAATGGTTTGGGTTGGACAGGACCCTAAAGCTCATCTCATTCCAACCCCCTGGGCATGTGCAGGGACAGCTTCCACCATCCCAGGTTGCTCCAAACTCCATCCAGCCTGGCCTTGGACACTTCCAGGGAGGGAAGTCCCTTTTTCTTCCTTGTGCTCACCTAAATTTTTAAAACATCTTCTCAGATGACCTCCCAGAAAAATGATGTGAGCTCCTGCTGATACCTTTTCCAAAGCTAAGCAGGTATCATTCCATGTTTCAGGGGATTTTAGAGGATTACATTCAGTCAAATGAAGAGGGAAACAAGCATTAAACCAGCTTGAGAACACTGATGTAAAGTTTTATCTGAAAATGATGGACAATGATGGACAAAGATCAAGAAGAGTTTAAGTAAACAGGTGAAGGTCTAAGACAGAATCATAAAACTGAATTTCCAGAATCACCTCATAAGCAGTTTTTGCACCTCTTCAGCAATGTTGGGCTACTATAAATAGCATTTGATTGACAGGTTGACACCATTACCTTAAAAATCAGCACAGGGGTCATTTGAAATAAGGGTCAATTAGGCCATTCCCTGAAAAAAATTCACCTGGCAGATGTTTGCCTAGATTTTGTCAGTCCTCTCCTTAGCAGTCCCTGGGGATAACAACTCCTCCTCCCACCATCTCCCCCAGGGGCGATGCTGGTCCCAAATTATCCCAAATACCAAAGATATTTTCTTCCCCAGGTCAAGCCTCCCTCCTGTAACAGACATCTCCAAAGAACCCCCCTTTCAACACTGAAGCCTCCTGTTGATTTAATTGCTCTTTAGATGATGTTCTGAAATCATCTAATGGGAGGTAAGTCCACAACTGCTCCTGTGGGGAAGCAAGTCCACAGTGAAGGAATTTCCCTCCCATATTGCACTTGAGCAACAAGGGGTCTGGCTTTCATATCTTTGCTGTGGCTGTATCTGTTTTGCATTTAACTTTCATGGTTTACATATTTTTTTAAAATGCTTTTATGTTTATTCCATTTTAGAAAATCTAATCAAAATTAACTGAAAGAGGAAGCTTTAAAGAAGACTTGGAAATGCACAACATCTCGCTCCTGAGGAAATGTATTTCTGAAGTTAAATTTTAATACTTCACAGGTGAATTTCCCTCACCTAGAATGAAGTCCTGGTGTTGACTGGTGTTTAAATTCCGACCATTTGCTAACATGCACCACTTTTTGATCTTTCTGCTGTATTTGTTGTTTCATTAGACTGTATACTACATACATGTCCTACTGCCTGGACACATCTGGAATATGCTTTTTTTTAAACAGAAATTTTACTTTTGAAAATGTAAACAGTAAACAGAAAATGTTATTCACCTTGTTGAATTCCATACTGCTAAGAACCAGACTGCTGAAAAATGCCAGGACGAAATCAAACCCAGGAAACTCTTTGTATGGAGTGTCAGAGAAATAAAATAAGCAAAAAGACTCAGAAAAACAGAACAAGGAAGCAGCTGAACCACACAGTACACCACGTTCTAGTATTTATACCTCAATAAACTCAAACACTGGGAGCTTCAATATTTTAATTTTACAGGCTACGATCAGCTGGAGAATTTCTCTCATATACCAAACACAGTTTTAAGTTCGGATATTGGCACTTACAAAGGATAAAAAATAGTCCAGCTAATAAAAGCGAGCTGGGAGTTAGTGATATTTGTTAGTCTCCATTTGGAGATTTAAAGGAATGACTTGGTTTATGGGGGAGCTCTGCACCCAGCAGCAGCTCTTCCCTCAGTGGCATTTCCCTGGTGCTGGCACATCCCAAAGGGCCATAAAGCAGTGATATTGCTGAAAGGCAACACAATTCAATGCAAAATAAAAGATCCTGAAGCACTTGTGTACATGAGCTAGACCCAGCCCTAGCCTGAGACTCCCTGCAGCAAACCCAGGAGCTGGAAATGCAGCTGCACGACGCCACATCAACAGCAAATCCGATGACAGATGATCCCTTCCAGCCCCAGACTTCCTCTGCAAGATCAATATTTTAAGGATTATATGCTGAAAGATTCCTTCACATCCTACAGATAAAATCAAGAGAAATGCAGGGCGCAGTCGCCTTTCCACGTCTCCTCCATCTCAAGGCCAGGAAACAGCTTCGCCCCCAGTTACAGCAGAAACATTCCCTAATTATTTTGTCTGGGGAGCAGTCTGCAAAGCAGACACTGATCTAAATGCCTGAACTGCATTTGAAAGGTTTAAAAGTCCAAACTATTTTGACTTTTCAAATTGCTGCACCAGTAAAGGACACATATAGCACCAAAGCAACAGATTCTGCTATTGTAGGTACACAAGTGGCCATTTTTTTTTTCTACTTGGAAATAGTTATAGAAAAATGAAATTATTCTAGAATAGCAGATGTATACAAATATTTAAAAGTATTCTTGAAATATAAATCCCTTCCACTGCAATTCTAGAACATCACAGGATTATGGAAGATTGTATCTGTGTCTGTGATTAAATTTGGATTAGTTTCCAGCGCAGATCAAACTGAAACACCTCCTGCTCGACTTTCTACAGTTACAGCTTAGGATGCTTATCTGAATAACCTGAATTTCAAGCCACTTATGGCTTGCTTATCACAAGTCAGACCGTGATGAAAGCAACTGCATCCCCACAAGACAGAGGGAGAGCAATCCATGGAGACAAGAGGGAAAATGAGAGCTGTGTGCTGTCCCCAGGCTGTCTTGCCAAGGAGATTACACTGCTGGGTGAACAAAGCAGAGGTGGTGTGTGGATATTCTCCTTCTCACCTTCAGAAGATTTCAGAGATGCTTTTCAGGGGAATTCCCCACTGAAGGTACTTTCCCGTGTCCTTGTTTATTTACCTTTCATCAGGAATTATCTAATACTTAATCACACAAACCAAACTCTGTGTGTTCCCAAAACGTAAAATATTTTAGACACCATGTCACACATCTTTTTTAGCTCTTCATGCTCCTTAGGGCTGTGCACTTGGACTGACCCTTCCTGCACCCCAACACCTCAAATTCCAATAAAAGGATGTGATGTACGAATGCCCAACCCACTTTCCAAGGGCAGATCCTACAGGTGAAGTTCCAGATTGTGAAATCCTCCATACCCCTGACTGAGGGCCCTGCTAATTACCAGAGAGGCTGGTCCCTAATTGATTTGATGAACCACACTGACAAAAGTCCATTTGCCCTGCCCAAAACCCGTTTCAGTACAGAGCTGTGTGACTGCTTGTTTGGAATTCAGGATTGTCACATCAGCAGCTTTTTTCATATCATTATTAAAATGCTCAGGAACAGCTATGATCAATCAATTCCTCAAAAATACACAGAGAGCAGTAATAAACACGGATAATTAGTGAACCTGCAATCATGGTTTCTATAAAGGAAGAAAGAAAGCAAGATCCTGCCAGATCAATTCTCTACTAACAGAAAGCTTTGCTTTTTAGACCACTAAGAAATGCAAACAAGATACAGAATTGAACTCCAAAAAAAAAAAAAAAAAAAAAAAAAAAAAAAAAAAAAGAAAAAAAATGGGAGGATAACAAGCCTCCGTTTTGATAATCCTGACTGGAGGAGGGATGATGTGCCAAAGGTATCCCAGGGATGGAATTCTCACTGAGGAGAACACTGCCAAGAGCTCCATGTGACAGGGTGACAGCAAGGTTTGCCTCTCAAGGAGCTTCCCCCAGCCAGTGGCATTTCTTGAGGGTGACAAATGAACAGGCTTTCCCTCCCTTCACTGTTAAAATCTGCAGATTGAGAACTGTTCAGAGCCAGTATTTTCTGAGAGAAAAGCAGACAAAAACCTTCCCCTTCCTAGCACCCAGGCACTGATGGAGAGAGAAACCAGAACTGCACAGTACCAACCTTACCATTTAGAACAGATAATAAGAAAAAAATCATCCTGGAAGGGGCTGTAAAGCATTGGAACAGGCTGCTGGGGCAGTGATGGAAATGTCACCATCCCTGGAGTGTGGATGTGGCACCTGAGAACACGGTGCTGGCACTGGGAAGACTGCTGGACTTCATCTTGAAGGTCTTTTCCAACCTCACTGGTCGTATGATTTCGGGATTATTTATTAATTAGTTTTGGACAAAATCTCTTCACTCTGCCAAGCAGAGAACAAAACAGAGAGGCAGAAACCAAGTGGTTGTGAGCATCAGCCACCCCACAAACACCAGAGACTTCCCATGGATGGAAAGATTCCTGTGCAGCTGGAGCTGATGTGAGAACCCTTTCTGGGTCCTTGCTGGCACCTGCACACAGGGACCCAAACCCCCACCACAGCCTCTGTGGATCTGGCCCAAATGACTTTCACAGAAGCACAACTACACCTTTTTTACTAAAGGCCTAAGAAATCCTACATAAAACAGGAATGAATGACACACAAACCTCTTTGCAGCCACCACAATCCCCCAGCTTGCTGCAGAAAGGATGAGACCAGCAG